TGGGGACAAGAGACAGGGGCTTTTGGGATGAGGACACTGGGATGGACATGGAGACATTGGAATGGGACAGCAGGATGGGAACACTGGGATGGGGACATGAGCAGGGGACAGCACGATGGCACATGGGACCATGGGGCTGGAGCTGTGTGGATGGGACTTCTTTGGGATGGGACACTGGGATGGGGATGTGTGATGGGGACACTGGGCTGGGTCCTGAGCTGGGGACAGTGGGGTGAGACACCAGCCTGGGACAGAGATCTGGGAAACCAGGATGAAAACGTGGGGGTGGGACACTGAAATGGGACATCGGGACTTTGGGATGTGGGCACTGAGGTCAGGGGGATATTGGGGTGGGATGACACAGAATTATGGAGTGGACTCGGTTAGGAGGACCCTAAAACCCCTCTGGTCCCACCCCTGCCATGGCAGGGACACCTCCCACTGTCCCAGGCTGCTCCAGCCTGGCCTTGGACACTTCAGGGATCCAGGGGCAGCCACAGCTGCTCTGGGAATTCCATCCCAGGGCCTCCCCACCCTCACAGCCAGGAATTCCTTCCCAATATCCCATCCATCCCTGTGATCCATTCCCTGTGTCCTGTCCCTCCACCCCTGGTCCCCAGTCCCTCTCCAGCTCTCCTGGAGCCCCTTTGGGCCCTGCAAGGGGCTCCAAGGTCTCCCTGCAGTGAGGTGAGCACCCCCAGCTCTCCCAGCCTGGCCCCAGAGGGGCTCCAGCCCTGGAGCAGCTCCGTGGCCTCCTCTGGCCTCTGTGCAGCAGCTCCTCATCCTCCCTGTGCAGGACCCCAGGGCTGGAGCAGCTCTGCAGGTGGGGTCTCACCTGGGCACAGGGGGCACAGGGGCAGAACCCCCTCCCCTCTGCCCACCTGGGGCTCAGCCCAGGCTCGGGGGGCTCTGACTCCTGTCCAGCTCTCACCTCCCAGCACCCCCAGGTCCTTCTCCCAACTCTGCTCCGTTTGCTCCATCCCAGGGGATCCAAACCCTGACCCAGGGGCAGCTCCTGTCCTTGTCCTTGTCACACCTCAGGACATTCCCAAGGACACTGCTCCAGCTTATCCAGGTCCTTCAGGGCTGTCACTGACCCCAGTTCAATGTCACTGACCCCATCTCGGTGTCCCTGACCTCAGCTTGGTGTCACTAGTGGTGCCCCCAGTCCCTGTGTCCGTGTCACACGTGAGGACATTCAGTGACACTGGGCCCAGTGTGGACCCCCACTGGTCACCAGTGGCCACTGGGACTCTGAGGCACTGCCCAGGACCCTCTGGCTGTGCCTGTGCAGCCAATCCAATTCTGCATCCACCAAACAGCTCAGCCCCAAATCCATCTCTGGGGATTCGTGCCAAAGGTTCAGTGGAAATCCAGATCCATGAAATCCGTGTCCCTTCCTGTCCCTTCCTGTCCCTTCCCCTGTGTCCTGATGGGGTCCCTCCCTCACTGCCTGGCCCTGGTGAGGCTGAGCTGGGGTTCCCAAATCCCCTCCCTGTTCCTCAGCAGAGCTTTCCCAGGAGGATCCATCCCAGGACTCTCCCGGGCCCAGGGGGGCGTTCCCAGGACATTCTTTTCCATCTTTCCCAAAAATGGGGACAGAGTTTCCCTTTCTCAGTCAAATGGAACTTCC